CACCGACTCATCAGGAGGCTGAACCCTCAACAGTCTGCAGAATCCCCTCACTGATTACACTGTAAATGATAATCTACCTCAACCAAAATCAAAGTAGACTATCACTCACCCACACCAGATATATTGTGACGATATATATATATATCAGCCTCCTGATGAGCCGGTGAAACTCCGACGAAACAGTTTGTCACAGCCCCTCGTTTGTTGTCCTCTTCTCCCTCTCTGCCTACGGTTTACCGGGCAGTTCTATTTGACTACATTTTTTTTTTTTTTTCAAGAAACTCTGCTCATTCTTATTGCCACACAAAAAAGGAGAGGCCGGGAATACCTCAACAAACAACCCGGAAAAAAGTACACTTGGTACTGGGACCATTACCCAGCTTAGGTGCAGGCCTTGGGACACTGTGGTCTAGTAGCAGAAAGGCCAAATCAAGACCGCTGCCCTGACTCATCCCAAACCTGGGGAAAAAAAAGGAAACCATCATGGCCGTAAAAAACGAACACAAACCTTCAATTAAAACAATCTCAACAACCCCTAAGCCTACAAAGCCTACCACCAATCTTAAAAGCGTGAGAGATCTACTCACTATACCTAGATCTACTTGAATATCCTAGCCCACCTTACTAAGTATTTCCAAACCAAGACCACCTAATCTCGGTGGTGGAGCTGAGCTCCAGACAACCAACATTGTACACTCCCTCCGCCTGCTGCTCCCTCTGCCAGCCTACTGTGGCTGCATAACCGAGTGACCAGGTATCTCCTACAGTCCTTGTTGTCAAAGACTCTGTGGTTTCTACATTGTCAGTTGGCCGCAAAGCATACTGCTCTAGCAGATTGAGCCACAAAACCCCAACCTTTGGAGATGGGGATATCTGCTTATTACTAATATTTACTCTCTCTCTCTCTCTCTCTCTCTCTCTCTCTCTCTCTCTCTCTATTCCCCTTAGGAAAGTTGCATCCAACGCACCCGACCCTAAAGGTGATTCGAAATCGTGACTGAAAAGCATTTTCAAATTTAAAGCGTGACAGCGCCCTAGATTTCCCAAAGGAAAAAGATTTCGATGCACCAACGGCTGGCGGATGTCCCACAGACGTCCCACAGGTGTCGCCGTGGGACACTTTACCTCACTCGTTCGCTAGTGGAACCGTGCCCCAGGAGTCTCTTCACCGAATGTACGGCCAGCTTTTGTGTGCTCCAGATCTTTTCTCATTTCGTCTTCTTCGCTGTTTCGCGCGCGAACTGTGGGTGCTGACCGAGAGAGTCGCTACCGGAATTTGGATCTGCTGGCTCAACCCTCCAACCAGTAGTTGAGCGATATATTCCGAGTGTAAAAATGATTGGAACACCCGCTACGGGCCGCGCAGTAATCAAGCTATCATCGGCGTGTGTTCGGGGAACGTTCGCGGAACATGCAGCGGCCACGTGCGTATCACATGGTCATCACTCATCTGCTTACCTGCCAGGTCACGCTGCTGATAGCTCGATTAACGTGAAGGCCTCAATCAGTCGAAGGTGGCTCTGGCACGCCATCCCTGCCGGCCGCGGAGAGGGAGGGGGAGGAGGAGGAGGAGGCGTTAATCGACGGCGGGAGATCGACATATGCCGGACTGAGGCAGTGGATAAGCTTATCGAACGAGGAGGCGCGACAAGGAAGTCATCGTTGAGGTGTGACTGTTGCGTTGCGCTGCCAGCAAGGCGGAGTTACATTGGAGTACGAGGAAACGCAGGCCTGTCGACGTGGCGGCAGGGGATTGGGAGAGAGGACGGGATCTTGCGGTCGAAGCTCGCGAGCGCGGTGCGCGCGTCGTTCACTGCGGTAGGCGAAGATATGTCGTCGATATGCATGTGTATAATAATGGAGTATATATCGTCAAATAGAACTGCCCGGTAAACCGTAGGCAGAGAGGGAGAAGAGGACAACAAACGAGGGGCTGTGACAAACTGTTTCGTCGGAGTTTCATGTATATGTGATGATATATATCGTCAATTATACGTCACGACGCGGCCATGCTGTGCCTCTAGTGCTAGCGGCGTGTCTGGATTGTGTGTCTTTTGGCTGTGATAGACCTTTCTTTGTTTCGTTGATTCGTGGGTGTTTTGATGGCTTGTGACGTTGTGATGGGGTGTGAACCGACAGTCTGTAGAGTTTTTTTCCATCTGGTGTGGGTGAGTGATAGTCTGTTTTTTTTTGTTTTTCGTCACAGGTACGTACCTTGAGGGCAGTGGTTGGTGGTCCCCACCACCTCAGAGGGGTATCAGTTGTCGGGCAGTCGTTGATGCTTAATCACAACCCGGGTTACGGTGAATTACCCAGCGGGCCTTGCTC